TTTTTTTTTTTTTTTTTTTTTTTTTTTTTTAAAAGATGACCGGTAAGGGGATCTCAACCCTTGGCTTGGTGTTGTCAGCACCACGCTCAGCCAGTGAGCAAACCGGCCATCCCTATATAGGATCCGAACCCGCGGCCTTGGTGTTATCAGCACCGCACTCTCCCGAGTGAGCCACAGGCCGGCCCTACCGGTCATCTTTCAAAAAAAAAAAAAAAATGCAGTTAGGGTAGTGGCTCTGGAGACAGACTGTCTGGGCTCCAATCACAACTTCGCCACTCAACTGTGTCATCTGAGTAAGTTATGGCACTTAAGTTTTGGCATCTGTAAAATGGAAATAAAAACAATCCCCACCCCAAAGGGTTGCTGTGAAGATTAAATGAGTTAATATGGGTAAATTGCTTAGTACAGCACCTTCTGAACAGTCTTTCTTAGCTCTTGATATGTGATTATCAATGCTGTGAGGTACATAGTATTTCAGCATTTTATAAATCAAAGACTTGGAGAGATTTAGGAACTTTCCTAAGGCCATGGCTTGAATAGAGGAGGTGTGGAGAGCTGATTACAGAGACTTCCCTGATTAGCCTTGACTGTGGATTGGAATTTATTCTATAGCTATTCTCTGAACACCTGCCCTGTGTGGGGTGATGTTGGGGACACATTGATGACTGAGACAGTCCAGCGGAGTAGACAGCTATGACTCAGAGCAGGCAGGGCTGGAGTTGGGAAGCCCAGGGTCTGTGGGAGCCCAGAAGGGGCACCTGACCCAGCCTGTGGGGTCAAGGAGGGCTTCCTGGAGGAGGGGATGTGAGAGCTAAGACACAAAGAGTAAGAATGAAGAACAGGTGGGAAAGTGTTCCTCATAGAAGGAACAGAATGTGCAACAGCTTGGAAGGAAGAAAGCTTGGCCAGACCATGCTGGGCCTTTAGGCTAAGGTGAAGAGTTTGGATTTTTATCTTAAGCGCAATGGTGGTTTTGAGAAAGGGAGTGATGTGGACATGATCAGACAAAGGAGTTCAAAATCATATGATTGGAAGAGGTTCATTCACCCACCCAACGATACACAGCAAGTAGTAGAGTCACGACTCAAACACATGTGAGTGTCCAATTCCCAGTCCATGCAGTTACCTTAACCACTGGACTAGACTGCCCAACAGTAACAACAACAACAATTAATATTGACTGAGAGCTAAATGGGTATGCCAGAATTAGATTACAGGTGGTTTGTAAGTCAAGGTCAGGACTTTGGATTTCATCTTGAGGGCATTCAGGAGGCACGAAAGTATCTTAAACAGGAGAGAGACACAATCACTTGGGACCCTTGTTCTCAGCTTGAGTCAAACCTCACTGTTTCTTTTTTTTTTTTTTTTAAAGATGACCGGTAAGGGGATCTTAACCCTTGACTTGGTGTTGTCAGCACCACGCTCAGCCAGTGAGCAAACCGGCCATCCCTATATGGTATCCGAACCCGGGGCCTTGGTGTTATCAGCACCGCACTCTCCCGAGTGAGCCACGGGCCCGCCCAAACCTCACTGTTTCTATCTGTGAAACAGCACCATTGAACCAGAACAGAGGTGGCAAACTTATTTTTTCAGAAGCTGTGCAAGCACTTAATATACACTCATTCATTTAACAAACATTTATTGAGAACCTCTTCGAAGGCAGGTACTATGGTATGTGCTGGGAATACAGAAGATAAATCCCCTTCCCTTGTGGAGCTGACATTCTAGTTGGAGGAAAGAGACCACAGACAAGTAACCTCCAAAACAAATTGTATACCAGGAAGTGATAGGAACTAAGGAGAGAAATAAAGCATATTAAGAGGATAGTGAGTGGTTGAAGGGGGCTATATAGACAGGGCAGTGAGGGAGGGCTTCTCTGAGGAGATGAAATTCAAGCAGAGACCTAAATAGAGATTGAGCCTAGCGGATATCTCTCAGTTAGAAGAAAGGGCATGTGCAACAATCCTGAGGCAGGAACGTGCTTAGAGCATCTGCACTTAGAATCTTACACAGATTACCCACTGTGTGAAACTCAGAAGGGGCAGCCTGAGGCATCTTTGTTGACACTGGAGAAAGCGCTAAGAAACATTTATCTCTGACCTAATATTTGAAATAACAATAATGACATTGAGAATTTACTATGTCCCAGGCAGTCCTAAACCCTGTATCTGTAGTGACTCAATCCCTATGATGGCCCTCAGGGAGATGTTATTGGGTCATTTGGTCCCACACTCATGCATACCCATTTACAGGTAGGGAAACTGAGGCCCAAAGATTGCAAATAAATATGATTTTAACTCTCATAGCGGCCCTTCCATGTCTCCTGTGAACTCTGTGGGCACAAAGGCTGGGCCACGTTCTGTTCCTTTTTGCTCAGTAGACTTGAAAAGCCACATATCTGAGTGGCTGCAATTTCCATGCCCCTTATAAGGGAGACTCCCGTTTCCTACCCCGACCCCAGGCCCACAGCCCCTGCCCAAGGGGTGGTTAAAAGCATGGGCTATGGAGCCAGCCTGGGTTCAAATCCCCCCTTACCTGTTTATCAGCTCTATGACACTCTTTCTAGACCTCATCACCTCATCTCTAAAATGGGGTAGAGGGCTGGCTGGTTAGCTCAGTTGGTTAGAGCACAGTCTTGTAACACCAAGGTCAAGGGTCCAGCTGCCAAAAAAAAAAAAAAAGAATAAAATAGGGTGATGGTCGTGATAGCACTTGCCCCAGAGAATGGCTGGGAGGACTTGGTGAAATAACGTAGGAGGAAAGTTTAGCCCAGGGCCTTGCTGGGGGAAGTGTCCAGTAACTCTTCCCATCTCCCCTGGCTGGCTGGCCCAAGGAGGCTGGACCCCCAGCATTCAAGGCAGGAGGTGTCTGGCTGTTTTTGAAGGAAGAGCAGGGTCATCTGATTTAGTTGAGGATGGGGAGGTAGCCTTCCCTGGGGAAGGAACATCTGAGCTGGGCAAGGGGCAGTGCAAGGTGGGGTTATGATCCTGGAGGAGGGAACAGCATGTGCGCTGACCCTGAGACAGCCTAGAGGGTCAGAAAGGAAGATGTGGGGGCAAGAGCTGAGGACTTGTAGCCCGGGGAAGAGGCTAAACTTTCGTTCTGGAAGCCACAGTTCTTTTCTCATTAAAGAAAAAAATTTATGCTGGACATTGTTGTAGGCACTGGATAAACAGCAGTAAACAAAACAAGGCCCCACCTGATGGAGCTGACATCAGGAGGAGGAGACAGACAACAAACACAAATTGATACTATACCAGGTGGAGATAAGCGCTATACCAGAAATCAGGTGGGGCTAGGGGAGAGAAAAGGAAAGGGACGGGAGCTACTTTCGATTATGGTTGAGAAAGGTTTTCCAGAGGAGGCAACATTTGAACAGAAGCCTGAAGGAGGTAAGAGAGGAAGCCAGGAAGGTATCTGGGGAAAGACCTTTCAAAGCTAAAGAATGGCAAGGGCAAAGACCTGAGGCAGGAGCAGGCCTAGTGTGTTTGCGGACCAGCAAGGAGGCCACAGTGACTGGAGCCTAGTGAGTAGGAGGGAGAGAGAGGGGTGAGAGATGAGGTCAGGCAAGCAATGGAGGCAGAAGGTGCAGGGCCTTGGGGACCTCAAGGACTTTGCTCTTGCCCTGAGTGGGATGGGAGCCAAACACAGAAGGGTTTGAGCAGAGAAAGGACAATATCTGACTTGTACTATTTTAAACAATTTTATCCAGATGTAATTCCCGTAGTACACAATCCACCCATTTAGAGTGTACAATTCTATGGCTATTAGTATATTCACAGAGTTGTGCAACCATCACCACATCAATTTCAGAACATTTTCATCGCTCTTCTTAACCACCCCCTCCCCCATATCCCTCACCTCCCCCCAGTCCTAGGCAACTACTAATCTACTTCTGTCTCTATAGATTTGCCTGTTTTGGACATATAAATGGCTCATATGATATGTGATCCTTCATGACTAGCTTCTTTTCCTGTAGCCTAACTGACTTGTATTTTAGTTGGACCCTCGGGCTGCTTGCTGAGGAGAAGAGACTGTAAGGGGCAGGGGAGGAAGTGGGGAGCCAAATGAGGAGGTGACTGCAGTAGTCCAGGTGGGAAATGCTGGTGGTTGGACGAGGGTGTGGGCCATGGAGGTATAGAGAAGAGGATGGATATTATATTTACTTTGAAGGTAGAGCCAATGGCGTTTGTACTTAGTTGGTATGTTGGGAGAGAAAAAGAAGAGTAAAGGTGTTTAGCCCTAGTAGCTGGAAGGATGGAGTACCATCAGCTGAGATGGGTATGGCTAAGACAGAAGCAGGCTGGGAGGGGAGCAGAAGCTCCGCTCTGAACAAGTGGGTTTGAGGCTTTCTTAGACAATCCAGTGGCTAGGCTGAGGACACAGCTGGAGACGGGAGTCCGGAACTTAGGGGAGAGTTTTAGGCTGGGCCCGGGAATCTGGAAGCCTGTTTGCACACTGTGTTCAAGTCCGTGAGCATGAATGAGATCCCAGGTGAGCGGAGACTGAGGAAGCCCAGCAGGCCAGGAGTTAAACTAGAAAATCCTGCCGTCCTGGTTAGAGAGAGCCTCCAGAAGTGCCCCCAGTGCTCCAGACACTCCACCTCTCTCCCAGGCCCCCAGACCTCACCAGCATCTAGCAGTGCATCCTGAGAGGTGTGGTAGGGAGTGTTCAGATGGTTTAGAGCCTTGCAGAATGTTGACTGTTACTGAGATGGGAGGTGTCTAGCTCAGCAGGGAACTTCCAGGACCCTGTTTCCACTAACGTTGGCATAAGCCACAAGGTTAAATATATTGACTCTTTCCTCTGAGTACAAACAGTGGCCCATCATGGGGATTCTGTTCCAAGGCACCATCTGACAGGTTTTGAAAGGATCGCTCCAGGATCAGGGTAGGGGGGAGGTGGAGAAGGGAGAGGAGAAGGGGAAATCAAGGCAGCATTCCAGGGTCACTCACACCTTACCTGCATCTTTCTCTTTACAGATACGCTAGCCCATGTCAAGGGGGACTCCAGCAGCCCAGAGCCCTGGGCTCAGCCCTCCTGCAATCCTCAAGAAGGGGACAACCCACGGCCCAAGGAGTGTGAGTCCACGCCCTCTCCAGCCCTGCAGACGGTGCAGCTGCCCCGCCTGGCCTTGTCTCCACCACCCCCAGTCCCTCCACCACCACCCCCACCATCTCTGCCGCTGGCCCAAGTGGCACCTTCGCCCCCCAGCTCCCCACTCCTTCCTCGGCCTCCGCCCACACCCTCAGCGCCAGACCCATCCCTGGACTTCTTGCGGGCCCAGCAGGAGACTGCCAACGCCATCCGGGAGCTGGCTGGCACTCTTCGGCAGGGACTGGCCAAGCTGAGTGAGGCCCTCAGTGCCCTGCTGCCTCTTCTGTCAGGAACTCCAGTGGACCCGCTGCCCCCACCCCCACCTCCCAGGCCTGTCTTGCCCCCACCTGCCCCCAAGGTGGAGATCACCCCAGAGCCTGTGTCTGTGGTGGCTGCTGTCATGGACGGGGCCGTGGTGGCAGCCCGGGGGGTGATCATCGCCCCCAGGAGTGAGGAAGGGGCACCCCAGCCACCCCCAGCCCCACTCCGTCCCCATGACTCACCCCCACACAAGAGGCGAAAAGGTTTCCCTACACGGAAGAGGCGGGGCCGATGGAAATCTCCCTGAAATCTGCTGTCCGTGCTCCTTCTGCCTGCACCCCCTCTCCCCAGCTTGGCGCAGTCGAGGGAGCATTGCTTTTTGCCCATCCCAGCTGCCCCCTGGCTCCCTGCTCCAGGGGCATAAGCACTCCACTCCCTGTGCTAGTTAGTGCCTGATTGGCTGGGGGGGTCTCATGGATGGGCTTCCCCAGCCCCTTTCTCTGATACAGTGCTTCTGCCTGGCTGCCTCCCTTAACCCTGACTTCTAAGCCATCAATTTTATGTTATTTATTATTGCCCTTTGTGGGGTGGTGAGGGAACCTCTCGGGTCTCCACATATCTCCTTTCCTAACAATTCCTGTTCTTGACTTTAAAATAATTGATCTGTTGGGGCCTCCCCACCTCCCCATCCCAGACTTTGGAGGGGGTGGGAGTTGCAAGACAAATCAAAATATGGATGACAAAGAGGGATCTATACCCTAGGGAGGGGGCAGAGTTCTGATTGCGGAGGTATAGGATGGGTCCTCTGCCTCCCATTACTGTCTCTGACCTTCAGAGCTCAAACCCCTCCTTTCTCCTCAGTGGTGACGAGATATCAATAAACTTATTTTTAATACAATTACTTGAGGCTCTGTGTGAGACAGGCCTGGGAAACCAGCACCTACACCTGCCCCATCCCCTCCTTGGACAAGAAACACCCCCTTGAAGTTGGAAGCTGATGGATTTCCATACTTTTTGTTTGTTTGTTTCTTAAAGCCATCAAGTCCTGTGTTCAAATGAAATCTTACTGTTATTCATCCTTAAGATACCAGTTTAAATGTCACCTCCTCTGGGAGAATGTCCTGATTTCCCTTCTCCAGGATGAGATGGGCCTGCCTGTTAGATTCTGTTTCCTATGGTCCATCATAGTGTCTCTTAGTGAACATATGCCCTTATCTGTTTAAGGCATGTTTCCCCCATAATTTCAGGAGGACAGAAACTGGTTCTCTTTCCCAGAACCTGGCAGCAGAGTAGATAATAACCACCACTGTGGACTCAGACCTGGGTGGTGCTGCGCTGGCCAGCTGTATAACCATGGGCCTCCGTTTTCCTCATCTGTAAAATGGGCATAAAGAGTTAGGAGTCTTGGGCCGAGCCCGTGGCGCACTTGGGAGAGTGCGGCGCTGGGAGCGCAGCAGCACTCCCGCCGCAGGTTCGGATCCTATATAGGGATGGCCGGTGCACTCACTGGCTGAGCGGTGCGGCCAGTCTCAAAAAGGACAAAAAAAAAAAAAAAGAGTTAGGAGTCTTTACTTCCTAGAATTAGATTCTATTCATCCTTCAGTGCGGCCAGTCTCAAAAAGGACAAAAAAAAAAAAAAAAGAGTTAGGAGTCTTTACTTCCTAGAATTAGATTCTATTCATCCTTCAGGTCTCAGCTCAAATATCACTTCCTTAAGAAAACTTTTCCTGACATCCAGCTTCCATAGGAATTATCAAAAAATTTAGTTAATCATTTGAGCAAAATCAAAATTTAATGTCTGCTTCCATGTCAGGGCAAGGCCTAAGCTAGTCTCAGTGACTGCTGTGTCCCCAGCATTGCCCAGCACAGAAGAGAGGTCGAATAATGGAATTAATGCATAGCTTAAAAACAACTTCCAAAAAAAACTCCCATTTATGGCACTTCCCTTCTGTGCCAGGCACCAAGCTAAGCATTGATGTGCGTGTTTGCACTTCAATCTGAAGGTAGCCATGAACGAACAGACTCTAGGGATCTCCATTTTTTCCTAGAAGTTTAGGGCCTGGCCCAAGTTCACAGTTGGTCAGAGGCCAATCCGGTCCACTTGAAGCCTAAATCTAGCCAGAACTCTTCCCCCACCCCCCTTTTAAAAAACAAAAAAAATTTTTTTTTTAAAGATGATTGGTAAGAGGATCTTAACCCTTGACTTGGTGTTGTCAACACCACACTCTCCCAAGTGAGCCACGGGCCGGCCCCTATCCCCTTTCTTTCTTTTTTTTTTTTTTTTTTTTTTTGGTGCTGGCGTGTATGGGAATCCGAGCCCTTGGCCTTGGCTGCATTCAAACCAACTGAGCTAACTGGCCAGCACCGTTCAAACATGTTGGAGTGCATAACGTGGACCCGGGCCTAGAGAGAGGAAGGGGCTAATGTGGGTTAGAACCTGGAGATCCGCCTCCCCGCCTCCCCAAAGCCTGCCTCGCACTGTTCCCGATGCCTGAGAGAGAAAATATGAGGGTTCCCAAAGCCTGGTAGGGCCTACCAGGTAGTAAGCACTCAAGGTTGGGGAAAGGTGCTCTGGCGCTTGCCCTCCCCCAGCAACCCCCTCCTCTTTTTCGCCATCTGTTGACCCCATTCCCTTCTTCCAAATTGGGGGGGGGCAAGAGAGGGTAAAGGTCCCCCAAGCACCGTGCTCCGGAAGCACGGAAAGCGCCCCCAAAAGTTGGGGGGGAAAGCAGCGGGAATCGGGAAAGCCTCCCCCACTTTTCGGAGAGCGGAAATACGTCAGCCTGTCCGCGCCGCAGAGCATTTTGGGAATTGTAGTAAAGTCGGGGGGCGGGTGGAGAAGCCGACCGTGTAACCCTTTGGAGACCAGAGCGGGCCGGGAGATTGAAACAGTTGGAGAGCGCTCGGTCACTCCCTTCCTTTAGCAGATGAGGAAACTGAGGCAGGGGCCTGGTCGGAAGCCCTCAGTCCTCTCCTTTCTCCTGCTGTGGCTGTCCCCAAAGGCTGATATCTACGATTCTGGGGGAGGACGAAGTGCCAAGTAGACAGACCCCTCACTCCAGTTGCCCTCTTCCCGTCCCCTGCCCTGAAACCATCCAATCAGGTCCTCTCCGCCCCGCCCCAGGAGCTGCTGCCTTCCTAACCCGTCATAAGGCCACTTTTGATGGGCGGGGAAACAGGGTCAGAGAGAGCAAGACTTTCGCCTAAAGCTGCACAGCAAGTTGGAGCAGAAATTAGGTGCCTGAGACTGTTCCTCCCCCCCACCCCCAAACACACAACTTTTTTTTTTTTTTTTTTTAAAGATGACCAGTAAGGGGATCTTAACCCTTGACTTGGTGTCAGCACCACGCTCACCCAGTGAACTAACCGGCCATCCCTATGTAGGATCCGAACCCGTGGCCTTGGTGTTATCAGCGCCACACTCTCCCGAGTGAGCCACTGGCCGGCCCTCACACAACTTCTGAATCCGTAGTAGCTCTGAGCATTTGTATCACATCCCCGTCCCCCACCTTTGTGTCCGAGCTCCTCGGAACGCGCCAAACTCCCCCCTTCGTCGTGGCTAGGAGTAGTAAGAGTTGTGCGCGGAGCGGCGGCGAGACCCCTCGCCGCCCAACGTCCCCTTTAAGAACTGGCCCCGTCGGGACTACGTTTCCCAGAAGGCTTTGCCGGCGCGTTATGTAACTTTCCCTGCGAAGCGGCCTCTGGGGCAGAAGAAGGAGGTGGAGGCGGCGGTGGCGGTGGCGGTGGCGGCCGTTGCAGCGGCGGCGGTGAGAGCGGCGGGAGCCCGA